GCGAACCCCCGCGTGCCGTCCAGCGGCCTCCTCGCGGGCAGCGCGGGGGCGACCCGCGCGTCGTCGGCGGCCGTGGCCAGCCCGAGGTCGGCCAGCCCGAGGCCGGCCAGCAGGCTGCCGTTCTCTGCCCACGCGGGGCTGTCCTCTCGACGGGTGCCGCCGTCCCCGCCGTCCCCCGCGGAGCTGCCCGCGCGGCCGCTCCCCGCGCTGCGCGGCCGCGCCGCCGCCGCCCTGCCGCCGTCGGGCAGCCGCGCAGAGCCCGGCCGCGGCACCGCGCCGTCCTCCGTCGCCGCCATCTCGCGCGCGCCCATCGCGGACGCGGCTGCCCCGGGGGGCGAAGAGGCTGACGGCGGCGGCTCAAGGGAAATCGGATGATGCGCGGGCCCGCCCACGTGCTCGCCCCCGCTGACGCCTCGCGCAGAGGAGACCAGGGCGGATGGAATTGGTCTTGGACATTCGGATGCGGTCGGAGGCTGCCGGGGAGGATGCGGGGGACTCGGCCGCGGGAGACGGACTGCCGGCGCACAGTCATCGCCTCGTCGAAGACAAAAGGCGACCCACGACACCGGCCGGCCCGCGCACCGCACCCGCACCCGCACCCGCCCACCAACCAGCGATGGACACGCAGACCAACGGCAGCAACGGCGCCGCCGCCGCGCCCTACGGCAAGCCCGGCGGGGGCGAAGGCCCCGGCCTGTTCCACCGCGTCGCGATGACCTTCACCGTGCCGGCGCTGTTCGTCTGGGACCAGACCGCGTTCGCGCTCGACTTTCTGTTCGCGTCGTGGCTGTGGCTGCTCGGCGGGCAGGTCAGGTGGGGAGCCATTCGCCGATGGGGCACCTGCCTCGCCCATCGTCCCGTTCTTTCGGGCTGACGGTCCACCCCACAGGTTCGGCGTCGACCTCCCCACGCCCACCAACCACCCCATCGTCGTCGCCACCGGCACCTCCACCGGTTCGCCCGCTCCTGCCCCGCGCGCCCGACGCCGGATCGCTGACTCACCCTTCGTTCTCCTTCGTTCCCCTGTTTGCCCACCACCGCTTCCCCCCATTCGCAGGCATCGGCTACCACTGCGCCCTCTCCCTCGCCTCGGCCGGCTACCTCGTCTTTGCCGGCGTCCGCAAGCCCTCCGACGGCGAACGCCTCCTCTCCGCGTGGCGCTCCCGCCGGGCGGCCCTCGAAGCGCGCCGCGCCAACCTCTTCTTCCGCGCGTGGGACTGGCTCGCGGGCAGCGAGGCCGCCGGCTACGTGGAGGGCGGCGAGGTGCGGTGGATCATCGTGGACGTGGCGCGGACCGAGACGGTCGCGCGGGCGGCGGAGGAGGTGGCGAAACAGGTCCGGGATGCGGGGCAGGCGGGGGTGTACGGGGTGTTTGCCAATGCTGGTGGGTTGTGCGCTCCCCGGCGGGGCAACGTACGGCGGCGGTGCTGATGCGCGCGCAGGGATCAACGCCGGATGCGCGTTCGAGCTCGAGACGCTGGACGAGGAGCGCAAGACCCTGGACGTCAACGTCTTTGGCGCCCTCGAGACATGCCGCGCCTTCCTGCCTCTCCTGCGCCGCAACGGCAAGGGCAGGATCGTGGTGACGGGCTCGCTCGCCGGGATCGCGACCGCCCCGATGGCCGCCGCATGTAGGTCTCCGGTTCCCCGACCGCCCCGGAGCTGACGCGCCCCCCCTTCCCTTCCAGACACCGCCTCCAAGCACGCCCTCTACGCCGCCGCCGACGCTATGCGCATGGAGCTCGCCCCGCTGGGCATCGCCGTGAGCAACATGGAGCCCGGCGAGATCGAGACCGAGATCTGGGGCAAGCAGCTCGGCCTGGTGGACCACATGACGTCGCACCCGCTCCGCAGGATCTGTGGGTCCCTTCGTGTCGCCCGTGCCCGGCAGGATGCGGCTGACGCCCCCGTGCCGGCGCAGACGAGGGCCACATCCGCTCCTTCGCCGCCGGCCTCAAGCTCGTCTCGGCCTTCCCGGGCACCCCGCCGTCGTACTGCGCCGTCTCGCTGCTGCACACGCTGGCGTCGCCGTTCCCGCTGCCGCGGTACCCCGTCGGGTTCGGTGGGTCCCTCTTTGCTCGCGATCGGCCGGTCGCAGGGGCTGACGCCCCGCGGGCAGACTCGTGGTTCGGGAGGTTCGTCAAGTGGTTCACGCCCGACAGGCTGTGGGACGCGTGGATGGTGGCGGGGATGAGGGGCGGGATGGCGCTGCCCGAGACGGTGCTGCAGAAGTGAGCCGCCGGCGGTTGCGGAGGGGATGGGCGATGGGAGGGGATAGATCTTTGGGTTCTTGAGCGCGCTGGACCGGGAAAAGCTAGTAGATGCATGGGAGCTTCGTCGCGTGCTCGCAGCGCTCTTCGCACCCCGGTCCCCTACCGCGCATTGGCCGAGCCGGTCCGATCTTTTGATGAAGCCAGACCTCCGATCGGCCGCTCTCCAGCCTTTCCCGAGCACTGGAGGGGCATTGGAAGGCACTGCTATTCTGACCTTTATACCACTGACGAGTACCACTCTGCTTAGGCGGAGATGGCAGCTTTGGCGGATGCGGTCCGCCGAGGCGGGCAAAAGCCAAGGGGCTGCCACGTTCCGCCGCAGGAGGCCATTCCCGCAGGCTCGCTCCGGGAAGGCACAGTACTATTCTGACCTTTATACCACCGACGACCCCAAGGATCGCCGTATTCGGGATCGTGGGCTACTTGGGGCGTGCGGGACGCCGGTGCAGGCCTGCTCGAATGGGCTGGGATGGGAGGCGGATGCAGGGCGACCGTCCGTCATTGTCCGCCTCGGACTCCCACAGACAGCGACTGCGCAGAGAGCTTGTGCGAGGGCGCTGGACAAGTCCGTGCGGTGGTGGGTTGATGGACGTGCCGCCCGACAGTCCGCCGTGGGGGAGACACCACCCACAAGAGCCTCCAGCACCCGAGTTCGATGGACGTTCCAAACAGCCTGCGGAGATAACTTTCACGCATCTCGAAGCCGTGATGCAACGGCGTGACGCACCGCCGAGGTGCAGATCGGCCCCTGCCTGCCCCAGAGTGCTTCTCCACCGAGCCGGGCACCGTGCACTGTAAGATGCGATCTCCCGCCCGGATGCGCATCGCAATGCATTATTTAGGGGCCGATGCTGCTGCTGGGTGGTTGCCGGGAGCAGGATGCAGCGTTGGGAGGCGGGGCGCCTCACTTTGAGACCGACCGGCTGTAGGCCGCAGGACGAGGCACACGGAGGCTGGGACCCCAAATCCGTAACCTAATGCGCTGGATGGCACTGGCGGGTCGCGGCAGCGCGGGAAAGAGCGCGTTGCAGGACGACACCATGCTGTGCTCTGACCTCGGAGGACGACGCCTGCGGCCATCGGCGGGCCGCCCTCTTGGTGCCGCAACGTCGTTCTGCAAGGGCGCGCAGCTGGTGACTGGGACGCGTCGTCAACCTCGTTGGCGGGGTCAGATCCGGCGGCAAAGATGCCTACCTGTCGTGACTTGACCGCCTGCACCGGGGTCTTGGAGCCATCGGTGCGGGACGCGGCGGGCGGTCGCCGCCGAAAGGGGGCATTCCGTCGGCCACGTTCCCTGCTCGGGTCGGTCAGATTCTCTGCGCTCGCCTTGGCCATCGGTCTTTGAGGGCGCTCACCGCCGTCAAGGGCGTCTCGGAGGGCGACGGCATCGCCCCGACGCGGCTGGATCACGAGGGACGGCCGTTGCGGGGGACGGCGCGCCCTCGGCTGCCTCCGGCGACGGCGCCGGCCCGGACTGCCGCGGATTGAACTCCATTTCGAGCTCAGAGAATTCCGGCGATGGCTGGTGCGCCCCGGTGGATAGTGCCGGGAGGAGGTGGTGGACGCTTTCACTCGTCGGCATTTCAAGAGCAGGGACCACAGTCCGGTGCCGTCCAAACACCACTTCGACTCGTTCCCCACACACCAATTACACCGATTTTGCCTAGAAAATCTGCCCAGACGCGCGCAATAGAGCCGCCTCCATGGCACTGGGGCTGGGGTTTCGCCCCGCTTGGATTTCCGCCCACGCATCGGCGTTCATTGCCAAAGCCAGCGCGACCTCCGCGTCGAACTCCTCGTCCAGCGCTTCCTGGACCCTCACAGCCAACTCGTCGTTGTCATCTTCATCGTCCTCATCCGGGATGGGTTGGACAGGGTCCCCAGAGTCGTCGTTGTCGCTCTCAAGCTCGTTGTCCACGACCATCTCCGCGGTCCGAAACGAGCGACTTCGAGGCTCCGCCGGCACCGTGGCCTCCTCCTGCTCATCGTCCTCGTCAATGTGAATGACCATAGTGGCATCCTGGCGTCGGTATTCGTCCTCTTCCTTCCCAGCATGGATGACGAGTTTCTCCCATGCGGCGGCGTCCACCAGCGCGAACCCCTCCTCCAAAAGGACCTTGACGTTGGCAAACATGCGCGAGTCATTGTTCTCAGCAACATGGTTCTTTGCACGAGCCCATGCCAGCTCGATGGGGTTGAGTTTGGGGTGGTATGGGGGAAGGAAGTGGAGGTAGATGTTGAACTCAAGCGCCAGCTTATCAATGAAGCGTTCCGGCTGGCATCCAATCTCCAGCAGCAGTTACGATCCGCCTCTTCGACACGATGGATGTTTAGGGGCTCCAGGGCAATCCCAGGTGTATGGTGCGGGGAATCGCGACCAGCGTTACTCGTTTAAGCCTCCGCTGCTCGCGTCCCAGTCCCTATCTGGCACCTGTGCTGCGGGCCCGTGCCCGGCCCGAGCGTGCTGACAAACACGATCTTGGCATCCGCGAGGATGCGAAAGTCGGATTGGTAAGCAAGGACGGACGGTTTCGCTGCGAGCCGAAAAATGGTGCCATGAAATCGGGAGCGAGGCCATTTCGCTGACTATATGGTGTTTAGGAAGCATACGCACGAAGGCGAAAGGTGAAGGCGGACAATCCCGTGCCCCCTTCTGACCATCGGGGGAGGTGGTGAATGGTGGAGTGACGGAGGAGGCGTCCAGACTGCTGGCCTATGCATTCCGGTTGGCGTTTGGTCTAGTGGTATGATTCTCGCTTAGGGTTTCTTCTCTGGAATGCGAGAGGTCCCGAGTTCAATCCTCGGAACGCCCCTTAAGCAGTCATTTTGGTGTCCTGTGGTGGAGACGCAGGGTGGGGGAGCGTGGGGCGGGGGCGGCGGGAGGGGGGGGGGGCAGACCACCACCGATCCCCTTTTGCTACTGGAGCAAAGTGTTTCGTTTATGGACGCAGCTCAAGGTCTACCGGTTTCAGATGGACAGCTTCTGTGATCACCTCGCTCTCCGGTGGGGTGGGGGAGAAGCTGTCCTCCGCATTCCCGACGGCGCCCTTTTGTAATGCCACGAGGAAGCGTATGCTACAGGAGGCAATGTTGTGCTCGCGTGCGGAACATTTCGGAGTCTTGTGTCCCGCGGGGTGGTCGTTCAGGGGGCAAGACGGATCACTGTTGCCCCTCGAACGCACCCGCCCCTCCCGCGCTGCACCCGAGCCAGCCCGCAACCGACTCCGCGACCACCCGAGCCCGCGACCGTCATCTGAGCTCGAAATGGAGTTCGATCCGCGGCAGTCCGGGCCGGCGCCGTCGTCCGAGGCACCGGAGGTGGCGCCGTCCCCCGCAACCGCCGTCCCGCGTGATCCTAGCGCGTCGGGACAATGCAGTCGTCCTCCGAGACGCCCTTGACGGCGGTGAGCACCCCAAGACACCCATGGCCAAGGCGAGTGCGGAGAATCTGACCGACCCGAGCAGGGAGACCCGCCGACGCGGCGGCGTCCTGGCCGAGCGACTCCCGCTCCCCACCACGCCTGCAAGTCTCCATCTCGGCTGCCCATCTGAACGAGTAAGTGTTTCGAGGGGCAAGTGGTCGAGATTGGGGCCATTGATTGTCGCCGGCGGAATCCTCGGCGGGCAGGCGAGCCGGAGCAGCCGCCAGCGACTGCGCGCCATCCGACGCCCGGCGATGGTCGAGGCCCCCAACTGCGACGGATCCGCGGCTTTGGATCGTCCTGGAACAGAGGGCGCCCGCGGAAGCGGCCTCTGGAGGCCGCACCGAGGCAGACGGCGCGGGGCAAGTCGGCGCTGACTGTGCGCGGCCGTCGCCCCCTCCGCTCGCCGAGGGGGCCATCTGAACGGCCGACACGCCGCCGGCTGGAAGAAAACCAGGCATGACGGTCGACCAGATGCTCAGACGCGTGCTGCAGCGGCCGCTGAGGGCAGTCGGGCGGGCCTCGTCGGCAGTTGCACCAACTCGGCCACGCCGAGCTGGGGACGCGCCGGCGATGGAGAATCCACCGCCCTGCGGCGGAGGGCGCCGGCATTTGCTGTTTCACGGCATGTTTTGCCCGCTCCGCCTGGTTTCGGCGGCGAGTTCTGCGGGCAGCGATCGCGGTCGTTTTGGGCGCCCATGCGCCGCCCTGCGAACTCCATCTCGGATCGCAACTCGCCCCACGGCGGACACCCCTTCTGCCCCGTACTTTCGCGGCGCAGAACGTCGCGCGGACGCGTTTCCCGGACCTTTATCCCTTTCCCCGCCCTCGGCGCACGCCTGCGACCGCCCCCGAGCGCCCCAAGCCGGGCGGGGCAGCGCGGGACCGCGGCACCGGCGGGCACCTTCCTGCGCCGCTGCTGGGCTCGGGACACCGCGCAATCATGTTGGGAGATGGAGATTCGGGCGCCGCCGCGCCCCGGCCCACCAAGGCCGCGGTGGCAGAGGCGGAGAAGAAGGTCCGGGGGGAGAGGGCAGGCGATGCCTTGGAGGCCGCCAGGGCCGTCGCTGTGGAGCGCGGACTCTCTCGGGAGGCAGCGGCGGCTGCTGCGGGCACCAGGGAGCTCCGGGAGCTGCTTCGCCGCCTGCCCAAGACGACATACCTCGACGAGTGCGCCGTTCTGGTTGGTACAGGCGCTGCCGCCGTTCCAATCCGCTGCCTGACGCTTGGCCCGTGCTTCGCGTACCAGAACGCCCATTCACTTGTCGTTCGCGGCGGCGTCGAGGAAGATTGGCAGGGAAGGATATCGAAGGAGCGGGCGAGGGCGATGGCTTTCAACAGGGTTGGCCCAGGATACCGCAGCTGCCGCGATCTCGCCGATCTCACCTCCGTTGTCAACCGCAGGCTTGCTGGGAGAAGCAGGAGGAGAACAACAACCGCCAGAGGTCCAAGAGGGAAGTCCTGCGCATCATGCGCCTGTACAGGACGATCGACGGTGAGCCCTTTCTCGCGGCCTGCGCCGCCGGCCATCACGATCTCCTGGGCAAAAGCTGACCATCCTTTGCACCAGAGTGGAGCTCTCCGAGCGGAAACTCGAAATCCAAAGGTACCGCCGCGGACGCGATCGTGCGTACCCAGCATCGGTCTCATCCCTCCTTTTCCTGTCGGCAGGAACCTCGTGCACGGGTCAGCAGACCCCCACCAGCGGGACGCCTCCAGTTCTCCCTCCGCCCCCTGCGCACGCCGGCTCCGCGTGCTCGTGCTCGGAGCACGTCGAGCACCTCGCCCAATCCGCCCCCAGCGATCACGCCCGCGCCGGGACCGAGTGCGAGGATACAATCATCGCAGAGATCCAGCATCTGCTGGACGGCGTGCACGACGAGGGAGGGGAAGACTACAACGAAGCTGAGGAGGACGCCAACTGTGGGCTACCGCAGTCTTGCGCGTCCAGCTGCGGCATTTCCTGACTGTCGCCTCCGCAGGGGCAAAGCTGGGGGAGCTCGTCCGCCGCCTCGGATTGGACCTCGACTCGTTGGAGCAGCTGACGGAGGACGAGTTGGGGGGGGATGAGGACCCTCTGCGGCTTCGCGGTGGGGCTCCCCCTTTCGAGCAAGACCGCAAGCGCAAGGCCCCCGATGCAGCGGCCGGCAAGAACAACGATTCCGAGCCCGGCGAGAACGCCGTCAAGGGTGGTGAGTGCCGATCGGTCTTTTGCTGTGCCGCGGAGGTGCTAACGGTCTTCATGGCTCAAGCACGATCGCCCAACGCGCGACAGCCGCCGTCGGGACAAGAGCACCTCGGCGAGTCCTCCGCAGAAGCAAACAAGGTACTCGCAAGCCTCTGCTGCCCAACGCCTCGTCTTTGGTGCTGACACGCTTGCGCCGTGCAGAAACCTCGCAAGGGCAAGTCCAAGGCGGATGCGACGCCGCACGCTTTGGCCGACCACCCGCTTCTCACACGGACGCCAACGGCGCCGAAGAAGGTGGTCGTCGCTCCTTGCCCTCGCGTCGTCGTCCCTCGCTGACCTTCTTTCCCGCCGTCAGGGCAAGGCCAAGCAGCCCAAGGACGACGGTGCGGTCTCGGGATCCGGACAACCACAAGTCGGTCAAGGCGTGCTTGGGCAAGCCGACACCGAGCAACCCCTTTGGGTCACGGGGGACCCGTTCAACCTTCCAGATCGCGAGCAGCGCCTCACTGCCGCCCGCGGTGCGTTGGCCTCGCGGAGTGGCCCTCCTTTCCGGTTCTGACCCGCCCTTGACTCGCAGAGGAAACTCAGAGGCGGCAGGCGCAGCAGCTCGTCCGGAAATTCGGCCTCAAGGACCTCGATCCGGAAGTCGCGCAGGTCGACCCGCTGTCCATCAAGCCCACCGAGACGATCCTCAAGGAGGCCAAGGCAGCAGTTCTGCTGCAGTACCCCAAGACACTCGCCTGGATCGAGCGGGACGACGGCGGGGAAGAGGGCCGGAGGCAACGCAGCAAGATCTTCGGCAGGTCAGTCATCAAGCAGCTGCTCAAGCTGTACATACTCGTTGCAATGAACCGGGTGGGTTGGAACGGTATGGCTCTCTGATCTCGATGCTCACGTTGTTCCCCCCCGCAGAAGCATGGCCGCCCTCCGCTGGAGCGCCCAAAATGCTCGAGACCCGGATGCCCGGCGACGCTGGTCGACATCGGACACGGCACTGCGCCCCACGATGGGAACTTGGATCCCACCAACAAGCTGGGGAACGCAGCTGCGCTGTGCCATTCGGGCACCGTCGATGATCGCCAGACACTCATTGCGGACGTCAACACCTCGGACTCGGACTTTGTTTGTGTGCACTGCAATCGCACCGCGCCGGACACCAGCTGCGGCGTTGCCGCACAATTGTTTCGAGACCGCGTCGAGGAGCTCGGAGGGGACGTGGAGGCCGCGATAGCGGAGAAGGACCCGTTCGTCGCGCAAGCGATGCGGTACAAGGTGGTTACCGGCTGCCAGTTCGAGGCGTGCCCTTGGAACGGCAAGGGGACCGACGGTGGGCACGTTGTCCCCGCGGAGATGGACATGGGAAGTCAGCCCGAGGAGGACGAGAGCCCATGGGGGAAGCACGGTCAAGGCCTCTACGATGGACTAGGCGGCGGCGTGGAGGAAGAGGAGCAGGAGGTGGACCAGGGGGCAGAGGATGCTTGGGAGGCCTGTCTGGCAAAGCTTGGGAGGGAGCGGAGGGCGCAGGCAGACGGCGCACGGATGGGCGACGATCTTTTCGAGGAGGGCGAGGAGTCTGGGGACCAGGACGCCGGCTCAGGTGACGACGTGAAGGTGAAGCCACCGTTGGGACTTGTGGTGCGTTTGCTTGGATCCGTGGGAGACGACGCAGTTGAACTAATCACGGATGCAGACCTCGGAACGCGGGAGCTTCCGGCCTACCCACGAGTTTATGGCGCGCGAGTTCCCCCAGTTTCCATCCTTTCCGTTCTTCCAAGACGGCTCAGGACGCATCGGTGCTCTCAAGAACGCCTCCAAGTTCACCATGGCATGCAGCGGCCAACTCCGCCGATACGCCGATCAACCTGACAAGATTGAGCGTTTGCTGAACCTCCAGCTCCAGGTTTTCTCAACGCGGTACGTCTTCCACAAGGTGTGCCACGCGGAGTACGACCGCATCACGTTCGTAAGCTCTGACGATATCGGATTGCTCTCCCTCATGGTCACCTCCACCTCAAGTTCGGCTGCTCGTCCATCACCAAGGTCGAGTACTGGGACGTCATCAGCAAGATCGATGTCGTCGAGGTCTTCGAGGGCCGCGCGGTGCTCTCCGAGGACGGCAAGTTCAGGAACGGATCGCGCCACATCGACTGCAAGACGTGCTGCTTGTACTGCTCCGAGACCCGGAAGGTCAGTTTGAACTGCG